CTACATTGTGAGATTAGATGAATGTTATTTTCCGAATTCTTAGATCTTCATTTCGTTTTCAAGCGCTTACTGGCTTTACGTGTTCCCTCTGCTCTCAATATCCCATCCTCTGTATATCAAGTGGAATCTTTGAACAGTTCTCAGCAGGCATAGTGGGCCTATTATGTGACATTTTCCATTTTCAGAGGAGATGTTTTGCAGAAAGCTGTGAAGATAGCGAACAATTTCCTTCACTGTCGTAGACTATGTCTGTAAGGATTATATGGAAACCTTGGTCGCAGGTGAGCGTTTCTTCCGTGGTGTGACCCCAAACATCACCCCTTGTCATGCCTTTGCCCCCTATTACGTGACAAGTCCCATTTTAGAGGAATGTTTCTTCACTGTCGTAGACTATGGTCACTTGTCTGTAGGAATTATGTGGAAAACTCGGTCGCAAGTGAGCGTTCCTTCCGTGGTGTGGCCCCAAACATGCCTCCTCGTCATGCCCTTGTGGAAAGTTCAGATTTTTTGCATTTCCAGATGAACTCGCAGACCTGAAATGTGCCCCGTTAGCTTCCCCGTGAAAAATGCTATCGAATGATATGCATTACTTCCCCAGTTGAAACTTTGGTTTTTCACCGTTTTCAGCCTTCCCCTATTGCCGGATTCCCACGATTACTACCCCAAAATCTCAAAGTTTCATTTTTCGTCGAAACTTTGTCTATTGGGGTAATTCGATGCCCTGATTACGAATATGACATTCATTTTTGATGCTGGTGTCATTTGGCGCCACGGCTGTTTTCACCAAATCTGCTGAAACTTCGTCATTTGGGGTTATTTGGGGTCCTGATTACGAAAACGACACCCGTTTTTAGCGCTGGCGCCATTTGGCGCCGTTTGGCGCCAATTTGGCGCCACGGCTGTTTCCACCAAATCCGCTGAAAACGTGTGTATAGGGGTTATTTGGGGTCCTGATCACGAATATAACATCCAGTCTTGACGCCGGCGCCATGTGGTGTCACAAACAACACTTCACAGTCAGAGCGTACTCTTAGGCACCTTTCTCAGAGCGCCGACTGTCAGACCGTGGAAAAGGTCATCGAATCGGAGACTTTCCCACGACAGGAAGGAGCCAGAAGCATGTTTCACGTTTTCGACAACGGAGAATAACGATGGCTCTTGCTACTCTTTAGCGACACAATCGTCAATGAGAGCTACTGGGCTTAGCCTTGAAGGACGTGTACGAGACGCTCAAGTTGAATAATCTGCACTTACTGGTTGCGATCCATGGGGTTGATGTCTGTGCCACTATGCCATTCATGTCAACGATCCATGAGCCTGGATATTCGTGATCAGGACCCAAATAACCCCTATACACACGTTTTCAGCGGATTTGGTGGAAACAGCCGTGGCGCCAAATGGCGCCAAAGCGCCAAATGGCGTGTCGTTTTCGTAATCAGGACCCCAAATAACCCCAAATGACGAAGTTTCAGCAGATTTGGTGAAAACAGCCGTGGCGCCAAATTGGCGCCAAATGACACCAGCATCAAAAATGAATGTCATATTCGTAATCAGGGCATCGAATTACCCCAATAGACAAAGTTTCGACGAAAAATGAAACTTTGAGATTTTGGGGCAGTAATCGTGGGATAGTGCCCAATCCGGCAATAGGGGAAGGCTGAAAACGGTGAAAAACCAAAGTTTCAACTGGGGAAGTAATGCATATCATTCGATAGCATTTTTCACGGGGAAGCTAACGGGGCACATTTCAGGTCTGCGAGTTCATCTGGAAATGCAAAAAATCTGAACTTTCCACAAGGGCATGACGAGGGGCATGTTTGGGGCCACACCACGGAAGGAACGCTCACTTGCGACCGAGTTTTCCACATAATTCCTACAGACAAGTGACCATAGTCTACGACAGTGAAGGAAATTCTTCGCTTCCTTTACAGCTTTCTACAAAACATTCCTCTAAAAATGGGACTTGTCACGTAATAGGGGGCAAAGGCATGACAAGGGGTGATGTTTGGGGTCACACCACGGAAGAAACGCTCACCTGCGACCGAGTTTTCCACATAATTCCTACAGACAAGTGACCATAGTCTACGACAGTGAAGGAAATTCTTCGCTTCCTTTACAGCTTTCTACAAAACATTCCTCTAAAAATGGGACTTGTCACGTAATAGGGGGCAAAGGCATGACAAGGGGTGATGTTTGGGGTCACACCACGGAAGAAACGCTCACCTGCGACCAAGTTTTCCACATAATTCCTACAGACAAGTGACCATAGTCTACGACAGTGAAGGAAATTCTTCGCTTCCTTTACAGCTTTCTACAAAACATTCCTCTAAAAATGGGACTTGTCACGTAATAGGGGGCAAAGGCATGACAAGGGGTGATGTTTGGGGTCACACCACGGAAGAAACGCTCACTTGCGACCGAGTTTTCCACATAATTCCTACAGACAAGTGACCATAGTCTACGACAGTGAAGGAAATTCTTCGCTTCCTTCACAGCTTTCTACAAAACATTCCTCTAAAAATGGGACTTGTCACGTAATAGGGGGCAAAGGCATGACAAGGGGTGATGTTTGGGGTCACACCACGGAAAAGCGCTCACCTGCGAACTCTCGTGCTCTGTGCGAGCGTTTCCCTACTCATGGTTTCCCTTCAGACCAAGTAACCAGTACTGTGACTAAGCCGAACAGGTCGAGAGGCAATCCTTCGCTCTAAAGTCTTCACACTACGCTGTGTCTGCCCAAGAACATTCCTCTAAAAATGGGACTTGTCACGTAATAGGGGGCAAAGGCATGACAAGGGGTGATGTTTGGGGTCACACCACGGAAGAAACGCTCACCTGCGACCAAGGTTTCCATATAATCCTTACAGACAAGTGACCGTAGTCTACGACAGTGAAGGAAATTGTTCGCTATCTTCACAGCTTTCTGCAAACATCTGTCCTCTGAAAATGGAAAATGTCACATAATAGGCCCACTATGCCTGCTGAGAACTGTTCAAAGATTCCACTTGATATACAGAGGATGGGATATTGAGAGCAGAGGGAACACGTAAAGCCAGTAAGCGCTTAAAAACGAAATGAAGATCTAAGAATTCGGAAAATAACATTCATCTAATCTCACAATGTAGTGGATGAGATTGAGTACGTGGCGCATTCTGGGGTAAGTTTTGAGGCCCTTCTTTGTGTGTAGCGGTTAGCCCGCATAAGCGGGATTATATACACATCACATGCGAGCAACTACTTTTTGAGATGAAATCGAGTGCATGGCGCAATCCAGGATAGTGCCCGCCACAGAACTTTAGGATAGATTCTTCTAGAACTTCAAGTTCAATACTTCTCAGATTTTTTGTCATCTATTTTGACCGGAATTTTAACCCGGACAACTAAAACGCGATACCTGCGCTCTTCTTTCGCCGCTAAATTTTGCAGTTTTACACCGCAGCGAGTAGCGTATTCAGAACGTTCCTAGGCAGCCCGTTTAATAGAGGCAATTTCTTCTAGTTTATGATGCGGGTTCAAATTTTCGATTGATGGGGTTTTGAACGGAATTATGGCCTTGGAAAGCGTAAAATCTCGAAATCTTCTAGTTTTGTCTGACGTATTAACTTTTCGAATTTGACGAAAATGAAGCAAGTTATTGCTTCGGAAAGTGTAAAAACTCGTGCTCATCATGAATTTTCCTCGTTAATTGATCTAAATTTGTTATTTCTTATAAATTTTTGTAATTTCAATACTGATTAGAAAGAGCTCTTCACAAAACTCCCAAATCTGCTTTCAGATTGAAAATTCGTCATATTTGAAGAAAGTTATAATCATTTGAATATTTGTTCAAATTTCAATAGTAGATAAGCTGCTCCACGGTCAACGCCAAAGATCAGTCAACACACAGCTGGCTAAGGCGGTTACAAAGCTTCTTTCAACTGAAGGGGGACGTGCAAATTGAGAACCACAATCTGTGTAGTACTAGAATTTGGTAAGTCTTGTGGAAGGAAATAAATAAAGAAGAGTTGTCATAGTATGCCATTTTTAGTGGCTAGTTTGTCGTTTTTTGCTCCTGTTTCTCGTTTGCTCGTTTGGTAGGACTCTCATAATGATTATTCTTTGACTTTTTCACTTTTGTACTTCTTAAACGAATTTTTTGGTGGTAGCAGGGCTTTTTTATGAGCAGTTTTGGGGAGAATTAAACAACCTTTTCATAGTTCGGCTTTTGAAGAGGGTCGTTTCATGGACTTCGGCCTCTGGCAGAGGGAGGGGGGGGGTCGTATTTCCAATTTTCCTCGACGCCTCGCTTGACCCTGGTTGAGCCCCTGCCGCTAATTATGTGTGTTTAGTTAGCTTCGTATCACATAGCGAAAGGTGCTGAAAGGGCTCTCGAGCGCCAAATCAGACACAAGTGAGGTGCAGAACAATAAATAGCTTTATACATTTTTACACATTTAAACAAATAACACAATAACATCACAAGGAATAAAATCAATTTTGACTCAATTCATATCAATTCCACTTGAGCCATGACGCATGCAAACTCTTCGTGCTTGGTATTGCCCTTGTTCCAGTTGAACATACGGATTTCAAATTCATACGGGCGCTGAAATATGTAAAAATATTTCTGAAAGTACAAGGGTGTAGTAACACACAGAATAATTGGTTTAAGGACCTTCCGGTGTTTCGTGGTGCTGTTTATATAACGTTTAGGAAAAAATAGTTCGTGACAAATTTGAAATGAAACACTAACGTATGATGCAAGGATATTGATAATAGCCGAAAACTGGGTTAAATCCAGTGGCAGGTCGAGAGTAAGCGGTCCTGACGTCAGAGGGCAATTGTGTGCGTAGTCACATCCATCGATGTTGTTTCTGAAAACCGTGAAAAATCATCGAGGAAGCTGACATCGTGATCCTGAGCCCTACAAATTTTTCCTTTGAATCCCTTGGATTTCGTTTGAAGGCAGAATTCCCGATGGAAAAGCAGCCCATTTTAAATCAACTTAGGAATGGTGAGCGATACACGGAAGAAGGAAAAACCCCTTCTTCGATCTCCATTCCGATCGTGAATTCTGCCTCTGAGGCTTCCATACATTCAAATAAAAGTCAACTGCTGCTGCCTGTGTCAGGATCATATTCATGAAAGTAGAGTAAATGTATCGGAGGGACCAATTCCTTGCGGTAAGCCGCGCGTTCGATTTGGATACCGAATCAAAATTAATTGAAAAATGTGCAGTGTAGAATGTACACGCTCTTAATCTCGCAGAAAACCCTTTCACCATAATTCGATGTCGAGAGATGGCAGGCTTGGGTGATCTGTCTTCGGACCTTCTCTAATTTTATACCTCAATCTTACGCATGTGTGACAGCATCGTCATACACCTTTCCCCCAGTTTGGTGTTGGGTATTCCAAGCAGTTACAAGCTAAGATTGAATGGTGCATTACTCCGCTTCAAAGTGCGCCAAAAATGAAATGCCAGAGGAAAAGAGAGGAAGAAGCTATCGAAGCCCCTAGAGTGTGGTTTCACCTGTCAACAAGCACTGAAGGGGAAGGAGCCCAGGGATCGAAGGAGAACGAGCTTCAAATGAGCATCTCTAACCACTAATGCTTCTTAACCATGTTACGAACACAGAAAGACAGAGCGGGTCAAGGTGGCTCGAACAGAGCAACCAGAGATTCAAGGCCGGGCCTGCTACGGTTGAGGGGCGCTTTGAGGTCAAGGCATTATTCCGGTGTACGCAGAGTTGTGGCGCGAATTATGGGCCCTTCCAAACCGCAGAAGCGGCAGGACTAGCACCTTATACCGAGCTTTTCCCTCTCTACAAGAGAGATTTATCCACGTGATGTGCTGTGACTCTAAAACAGTAATAGGTAAGGCCCAATATTACGCATGCAAATGACTGCTCTTCGTGACTTATGCAATCTTTGCTCTGCAGCAAGTGGATACAAAGGCATGCTCCATGGTCGAAGTGGTATGGTTCCTCTACATGAATACGGAAATACTGGTGCGAAATGGGTGTGGCGATAAGAAAAATGAAAAGATCTGTCGAAAGAGTGAAGGCTAGCACGAAAGTAATGCTGTTAGAGTGAGGGTCCAGGTATTAGGTTGGAGAGAAAGTCCTCTTTCAATTTTTGTGATTTTAATCTTTTTTGTTTACAACTCCTGACCGGTCATATATCTATCATGAGTGTCCACCACTTGTCTTCAACGCTCAGAAAATTTCTGATGCTCCTTCCAAAACCCAGCGGAGTGCGGGTCAAGAAAGGAGGCGACCTCACTTTCGAGTTGGAGTTGATCGTCTAATTATTTCGTTATCAAGATGATGATTAAAGGTCCAGGATAGGTAGCACTTATTTACAGCTCGACCAGGGGATTACGCTAAGAGAGGAAAGAAATCTTGCCGCAACTCCAGAATTTCTTACCGGGCTCATTTCGGATCATGGTGATTCGCAATGTCATGAAAGAAATGAATCGCGGTACGAGGGCTCTTGACGAGCTGCCTCGGCCAGCTTCTGGTATTCCACAGCCTAGGCCTCTACCTACACAATGGTGCCCATAACGAAGGATATGTAGTGGAGCTTCTGTAAGAGCCCTACCTGTAATGGAGTGTGAGGGACGCTGCTGGCTTCTTATAAAAATATCAAAAGATCGGAAGCGCTGGTAAAGGTGAAACACGTGGTAGTGGTAGCGGTGAACGACATGCCTATTGAAGCTATTGCAGATAGTGTTGGTCTTTGACACGAAATCCATAGTTATGGAGACATTTGTACTAGACAGTGACTCGGAGTGTGGATTTACTAGTGGTCGAGGTTTTTCGAATTTTCTTGGATAACTACTTACTGCAGCACTTATACAGGGGGGGCCAAAAAAAAGACATTTTGCCTCCACTTCCAGATGGATTTAAGCACATTTTACTCAACTCAGACCGAACGGTTCCAACTTATTATTAAAGAGTGCATTCCATTCTATAAGAAAATCTTCATAGTGGCCACGTACGTGGACGGCATCAGAAGAATTAGCCCTGGAAACATGGTGCACTGGTCGATCTCAATGGGGTCTTCGAAGGATCGTGTACCATAACGACCCTTACTGGAAAGCTAGTTCCGAGGGGATTTGCACAGTGGTAGCTAATGCCTCTAGAAAACTATCCAACATTAAATCGATTCACGAAATTGCGTAAGAGCTTCAGGCTGAAGCTCTTACGGTAGACCTCCTTGAGCCTGACGACGGTGACAGATGACGTCATATTCTGAAGACGGTGAGGGCAGTGAAGGAGGAGCCTGCGTACACTAATAGAGGAACACTTAGGGAATACTCTGCTGAGGAACTCCCGTCAACGACAGCAATCTCTGCGAAGAAAAAAGAGCCGAAGTCCGACATAGGCAAAATGTCTTTTTTTTTTGGCCCCCCCCCCCCCTATAAGTGGCAGCAAAGCGTCAGAATCATCTTATCATTGTTAGTCGACTGAAACTCGTTATCTATGGATTGTTCAGAAAAAAAAAAGAAAATTTTAGGAAGAGTGTCGCAGAACTTTCTTTTCAACCTAATATTACCAAAAGCTGCTCTTGTACCTGATTTTGCAACTTCGCTGCTTGCTAAGTTTGTAACGCTTCTCATTTTTTAGGGTGATATCTATCATCCACACTACTGCAGCGGAAAATGTAAGGCATGTTGCCGCTCGAACTGCATGGTAAAAGTGAGTTAGATAACATGCCCATACAGATAAGCTTGGTCATAAACCACTCAATGATGACGTCTGTCAGCATGAGCCGTGAAAAAATTTCCCCGTTTTCAAGGACCCTCACATATAGAGCAGATGCTGGTCGCCAACGTGCTCCGATCAGAAAAACTATGTATCCTGATGGGACACTTTTTGTTACGCCGTGAACTTGATACAAATAGAAAAACGTGAGGTAAATGGAATGCGTTCTGCTCTGGAAGCAAGGAAATCGTATCAAGGTTCGTGCCTTTCACACAGTCCTCTAACATAAGATGAACTTTCTGGCTCGAAGGTGAAGAGGGTTCCAGTCGGCCAACGTCGAGGATTCCATGGTAAAAAAGATTGTAAGGTACAGTGTATTTGCGGATGAAAAACATTATCACACCTCAAAAATATCTACTTTCTAAATTTGTTTTCGAGAAACTTTCAAAGTTTTGCGGGGTTTGGGGTATGTCAAGGGAACCAAGGCTTCTCCGGTTAGTACTGTAAACCTTTCTTTTCCTTACCATCTCCCCTCTTTCGTTGCAGATTGACATTCGTTGAAATTGAGGGATACGTCCAAGTGAAGAGGAGGACGGTCAAATGGCGATCTACTAGCCCTTAGGACCTACTAATTAGACCTCGTTTTATTAGATTTTTCTGACGCGCTGCTCACCCTGCTTTCACTGGTGTGCGAGAGCGGATGCAAAAACGGTGACGCATCTTCGACATGCGCTACAGCGATCAAACAGAAACATCTAGTATGTACTTACAGTAGTCCAAATGTCGGTACATTCACCCATGCGCAGTCGGCTGAAGTCATGCCGGCCTCGTACTCGAAGATTCTCACGTTAACTTTGTTGTCGTCAATCTGCAACAATCTTATTCAGCTCTGAATTACTGTTTATAAATTGCTGTGGTAACCAACCTGCGCTCCATGATTGTACGCGGTCAATCGCAAAATAAAGGGTTGTCGCGGGTCTATGGGGTAAACCATGTTGCCAGCATTGTCCGTGGTCACAATGGAGCTCACGGTAAACTGCTCACCTAAAAATGAGGGTGTTTTTCTGTGCGATTTCTGTGGAAATACTACTGAAGTTCTTCTTACCCGCTGCACAAATGTAAGAGTGCAGAGCTTTGTCTGTGCCATTCGGGAACGGACAATTAGCCGCGTGGTCTACAACAGGCTTTGCCACAGCTATGGTAAAGAGAGCAAGGAAGAAAAACATGCCTGAAAAGTGAAGGGATGACAAATTGTTTCAAATACCATCACTGATAGAAGTTTCAATCGGGTAACCGTTTTTTTTACAAAGCGAGTTGTGATAGGAAAATTGGCTAAAGAAAGATACGGGAGCGCTGAAGAGCATGCAAACTGGGCGCGTTTATAAGCGTTGCTGATAGCGTAACCATGCACCGATAACGTAGCTAGATCATCAGATTTTTTATCGCATAAATGCCTACTCACCCCGGCCTGTTATTCAGCAATATCACGCCACTTGATGGTTTTTTGACTGCTCAAAGAGCACAAAGAGCAGTGAGTTCGAAGGACTCTTTTAAAATGTGACTGCAAGTGGAAAGGCGAACGTAAACGAACTAACGGCTGTGAGTGGAAGACAGTTGTGTTTCAACCTTCTCCGAACTCCTCAGATCCACTTAGAAACAAGGGAGGAGGGAGAGGTGAGGATCAGACACTTATTAGCAAGCATTCCGCGCTCTCCTTCATGGTTATGGCTTTGAATTGAGTGGTCATCCATGAAACTTTCACAACAGGAAAATGTTTTTATCGGATTGCGAGATGCTTGAAGGAATCCTTCCAGGAAAAATCATGACTCTATCTCACCCATAAGTTACTGGCATGAACCCATCGTCCACGATAGAAATGAAAAGAAGAAAACAAAACGCATTTGTTACGGTGTGAACAATTCAAAAAACTGATAGGACTCCTGCGCGTTCTTTCCGCCAGACATCTGCCACAAATGGTCACGACGGGGAAGCTTCCACTTTGTTTCCGGAGTGCTGTCACTAGGAACCTTTTTGACTTTTTCGTTATTGGATCAGCACCTCACACTTCCACTGCATCACATTCTACTACTCGACTGTTTTGTTTGTGTTCTCCAAAATCGAATGCTTCGACCGGATTCATCAGCCGTAATGCATCGGCCATAACTTCGCCGCCTCAAGGCGCACTTCCACCCATGCCCCTCTCCCTTTGGCGCCGCCCTAACTACCGCCAACCGCCCATAGAGTGAGTTTTCGTGAGTATGCTTCTGTTCGGAAGCTAAATCAGTGTGAATCTTAGCATGTTGTCTACAGTGATTGCAGACACATTCACGTTGGGAGAATGCGCGAGTTTCCATGAGCATTCCTTCAAGCTGTCATATAGTTCCTGGTTCAAAACCAGTGAAACAAATTGAACTTGCGCAACATCTAGTCCACTGCAAAGTTTCTTGCTTTCCCATGCATCTTCAAAGTGCTGTTCTCTATGGACGAGCCCTCAATTGGACGCGTTGACTGATGAGGGTATCCGTTCTGAAAGGGTATTTCACATTACACAGCCACTCAACATGAAGCACGAAAGTGATCTCAACTTTTTTTCGAGCTACAGTAAAATGCAAAACAAATAGGAGAAAAATGGCACTAGATGCTTACACGTTTTAACCTTTTCCAGCCATTATATGCACTAACCCGCGCACACATAAGTTTTTGAGGATGCGCTTGTCACAATGTTTCGATATGGCTTTCTCAGGAACTTTCAAAATATTCTCATAGGTTGTCTTCAATATGAACCGTATCAACGTGAGGACGACGAGTTAATGTGGCAGTGTGTGTGATGTGCACTATACAAATCGTGCAAGATAAAGACTGGCATATCCTTGCCATCTAAACAGTACCTATTGGCTTAAAAAGATTCTACGGTAACTTCGAAGGTCGAAGAAGAGGAAAACTCACCTAATGAAGAGACAGACGGACCCTTTGAGAGTGCCGACCAACACGCGATTCGAAACCGTAGGACATGCATTGGGCGATTTAACATGGTCCTCCACAACATGGCAGAGAGCGACAGCGTTAGGAAGAAGGCAGCGCCGGTTAGAGCTGCATCAATGCGATAATCAAGGAATGCGAGGGGTTCCCATTGCATAGGGTTTTCGCGGTTTTTTCTTCATAACAGCACCGTGGCCACCTCTACCTTGATTCTGACGGGCTGCCTTCTAAGCTTGTAAGCTTATTTTGTTTGCAGAACAAAACTACAAAACTGTACCTCAGTACCCTCCTTCCTTCAGAAGCATGGCCAGTGAATCGATCCTGCCGCTGTAAGGCGAGAAAGTACAGGGAGGAGTTGAGAGTACAGCAGTTTCGCAAGCGCTTCGCCTCCTCAGATGGGTTTGTTTTACTCTTTCATGCCGCATTTTTCAAGATCCGAACTGTGCACATGCATTAGCGCTTCCTCGGATCAACGACATCGTAGGCGCCTGCCGCCTCAGTGAGGCATTTCAACACGCTAATATGTCACGACCTCACCAGTTGCGGGCCTAGTACCTACACCAGCTGGACAGATCTCACGAGTGCTACTGAGCCCGACATTTGCCTTTACATTTCTTCATCCCTTTCAAGTGTTTCAATTTTGTTTCAATGTTTCAATACCCGCTCATTAAAAAGTAAAGTAGAGATTACTTTGAGTTGCTTTCGATTGCGATCCACCTTCTGATCATAGTTCCCAAATGCAAAATTTGACACGATCGTTTCCATCGAGGTTATGGAAGAATACAAAGTGTTTGGTTTTGCCTCCACTCGGGCGACCCACTGTGCTTCATAAAACAAGGTAAAAGAATCTTGTTACAGGATTGCATTCATAAGTCGCTGCCATGAAGAGAACCGGAGAACAGTAAAAACGGCTAAACATTGAGTGCCTCCGGACAGAGTTCATGGTCTCTAGCTTTATTCACTTTTGTCACATGTTCCCGTATCGAGAAAAAAATCGGCTTGTTTGCTAATGCAAAGTTCTAGCACAATGTCGTAGAATCACTTGCAGTTGTAGTCATTTGTTCATCCACTACAAGCGGGGTGATTCTGATTATAACACTACAACCGGCACTCTATGGACTACCTAGGCCATAATTCAAACTTCGAGATCTGCTAAAGACCTCCTGACAGTGTAAGCATGGCTATGCAGAACCTCTCGTGCCATTAAACTAGGCATAATGGGGTGGATATACTGTCACGCTTAGGTTAACAAAGGGCGGAAATGGTGTAGTGTTAAGTGGCGCGCTCACCACGCGAGCGGTCCGGGGATCAAATCCTGGGTCGTGAGTCGCCCGGGCCAACCAAGCCTTCCATCCCTCCGGGGTCGGTTAATTGGTACCAGACTTGTCTGGGAGGATAAAAACACTGACTTGTACATCGGCTGGCCCCCGCAAGTCATTGTATAGGCCACATCGCATTCAAACGCCACTACGAATGTACAAATGGAAGTAGAATGCGTGCCGCATCCCAAAAGGGATTGATCAACGGCAAAAGCTTCATCCTATAGCTCAACGAAGATCTATCCATAACTACTCTCGAAAGGCGTCTAACAAGCTATAGAGAAGAACGACTATATTCTGCTACTGGCTTATTTGAATAAATAAGCGTACTTTTTCAAAAATCGGCTGGTATAGTGAGTCCACGACAGCTTCATATTATTTCAATTCCAACATAAGAAATAAGAAAAACAAAAGCATCCACATGAATCACGTTCCAGTCTTGGTTAAGACTAGCCGCATTCAATCCTCGAGCGATTACTATCCCATACTAATATACAAAATTCTCCTAGAGCAAAACGATACAACTTATAAAAGTGAAGAATGTTAAGGAATAGTAACTAATCGACAGCTACAAACCCCAAAGATCCACATACCACTCAACTCTATTGAATATAACTACATGGCTCAGTGAACCTGTAAGGTATCGATTTCTCAAACAGGACAAAGACATGAAGCGAGATACTTTGTTCCCAGTGCGAAATTCCTATAGAAAAACAATCAGGAGTAAGAAATAGACATAGAGCGAAAGCCAAATACCAAACATCATACAATGCAAGAGATCTATCTAGGCTGAAAACACATGCAATAAATTGAAGAAAAAGATAGAACATCTAAAATTTATTCTACAATCCATTCTTTCTATGTAAAGTGAAACAACACGACAACTAAAGAAGTTATATCATTTAAAGAAGACATCAAAAAGTGTTAACAAGTAGAACTCTCCATATTCTCCTTTACTGTATTCTGCTGATTCTTACGACCATGAGTTAACAATGAAAGCAACCCTATGTCTGGTGGAAGGGTATACGACGCACCCAGGACCAGTGTTCGTGTGGTCACGTGCTCATGACTGCCTAAAACGTGACCAAAGCTCTTCGTAGTAATCGACGATATATTAATGATGAAATCGCCTCTCCTTGGAAACACGCAGAATCCTGAAGATCGTAGTGATGTATTCCATCCGACATCATGAACTGTGATAAACACCTGAAATAGGCTGGACATTCAAAGTGAATTACATTACAAGCAGTCTTTTCCGGCAAGTCCATAGATCAATACATCAGGACTTCTATAAAGTCTTGGAGAGCGGTCCTCGAACACAACAAAAGGCGCTGTTAAACCAATCCACCTCGTGTTAGCCACTAGAGTTTGGGCAGAAAAGTAAAACTTACAATGCCGTGCCCCAGAGGTCCTTTGTATCAATGCTGGCGCCTGTCATCAACGAGGCAGTACGCTGCACTCGTCATGACGAATATAACTCACACGTCACCAAGCTTCACAGTTGATCAGCAGTGTTAAATGACGACCCTAATTTTTGATGAACAACGTCCATAGATCGCGATAATATAGTCCCATCCCCACCCATGCGTCATTTGGTGGTCCTAGATATTGCTACAAAGTGGTGCTCTCGCTTTTTTTCTGAGAAGACAGTCGCCTGGCAGTAGTCGAACTTTTCCGAGAAGGAGGGAGCACGGCGTAGGCTGGGCAATCCACTTTACCGATATCGAAAGTATAAGTACACAGCACACAAGAGCGTACCAGATCAATGTAATAAGTTATATTCTAGATCCATTTCTTTGATGTAAAATCCAGAACATAAATGAATGCTCTAATGCTATTTTGCCGTAACATTTTTCTCCTTTAATTCTCAAGCATGATCTTCAATGAGGTTTAGTTGGCTACGTCAATGGTAATTTAATATTTCAACG